CTATATCACTATATACTTCCCTCTTAGAACTGCTTTTGCTGTGTCCCAAAGATTTTGGACTGTTTTGTTTTCATTTTCACTTGTCTCCATGTACTTTTAAAATTTCTTCTTTGAGTTGTTGATGCATTGGTTGTTTACTATCATGTTTTTTAGTCTCTACGTGTTTGTATTTTTAACCATTTTTTTCTTGATTTATTCCTAGTTTCATATTGTGCAAATCAATGAGTCGCTTGTGGATCCTCATCTGAAAACCATCCCAAGTCTTCAAACCTTCACCATAAGGAGTTTTTCTTGTAGTGATTCTGAGTCTTTGTTGTATCTGAACTGGTCCTCCTACTTTGAGTTTCATTTTCTTTGTGCAAGTCAGCACATACCTTCTCCAGAGATTTTATGCTGCAGCTGGTTTGAGTAATTCTAATTTAGTGAATCACCACCTCTGGTTCCATGGATATCTTCCTAGTGGGGAGTCAGGAGCAGGAGCCAGATGCCCAGAGATCCACTGTAGCTGCAACTGCCTCTTCCTCAAAGAGTCAATCTCAAATTTATTGAGGTTTTTTTTATGGCCTCATATGATCTATTCAATTCAGCTCCTTTTTAAATGATATCTGTTCAGGAAATTTACCAGAAATGCTTATGTAGAAATGCTTCTGGATTGTAATCTGGCTTCTCCTTCATATCTAGAAATTAAAAAAAGAAAACATTTTATTTATTTATTTGATAGAGACAGAGAGAGAGAAAGAGCAAAAGCAAGGAGAGTGGCAGGCAGAGGGAGAGGGAGAAGCAGACTCCCTGCTAAGCAGGGAGCCCGATGTGGGGCCTGATCCCGGGACCCTGAGATCATGACCTGAGCTGGAAGGCAGACACTTAACCAACTGAGCCATCCAGGCACCCCTCGAAAATTCTTTAATTCTCAGCAACTCAACACTCAGAGGGGCCTACTTCAAACTCAAGGTAAATCCATGTATGTTCATGAATTAAACTAGGTTGTATCAAGGCGGAGAACTCCTGCTCTACTACATCATCTTTTTTTTAAGATTTATTTGTTTATTTGAGAGAGAGAGAAAGAGAAAGCACATAATGGGAGGGCCAGAGGGAGGGGGACAGAGAATCTCAAGCCAACTCCATGCTGAGTGTGGAGTCCTATATGGGGCTTGATCTCAGCAACCCTGAGATCACAACCTGAGCCAAAACCAAGAGTTCGTCCCTTAACCAACTGTGCCACCCAGGCACTCCTCTACCACATCATTTTTAATGGCTTCCTAGTGATCTAATGCATGGATACAATAATTTGTTTAATCCGGTGACTTCTGTTGAGCATTTAAGATGGTTTATAATACCACTCTGGGATAAACATCCTTATAGCTAAATCCCTATACCTTTACCTGGTTATTTCCTTAGGATAAGTTCCTGTAATTAGGCTAAAGGGTATGGCATATCTAAAAATTTTAATTTGGCAGGGTGCCTGAGTGACTCAGTTGTTTAAGTGTCTACCCTCAGCTCAGGTCATGATCCCAGAGTTTGGGGATCAAGCCCCGAGTCGGGATCTCTGCTCATCAGAGACTCTGCTTCTCCCTCTCCCTCTGTCTCTCCCCCATGCTCCTTCTCTGTCACTCACTCTCTCTCAAATAAATAAATAAATCTTAAAGAAAAATAAAGACTTTGAATTTGGCAAGAATATATAAGTTCCATTTCACAAATAAAGAAAGTGAGGGGGTTTACAGATATGGATATTTATGTATGTATGTATGTTGAGGTATAGTTTACATAAGTGTTATTTTACTTTCAGGTGTACAACATGGTGATCTGGCAATCATGATAACTGTAGTTACCATCTGTCCCCATATAAAGTTATTACAGTATTATTGACTATGTTCGGTATATTGTATTTTTCATCCCTGTGACTTATTTATTTTGTAACTGGAAGTATGTACCTCTTAATATCCTTCACCTATTTTGCTCGTCCCCCTCCACCTACCTACCTTCCCTCAGGCAACCACCAGTTTCTTCTCTGTATTTAAGAATCTTTTTTTAAATTATCATTGTTTGTTCATTTGTTTTGTTTTTTAGATTCCATATATAAGTGATATCATATGGTATTTGTCTTTCTCTTGTCTTAGCATAATACCCCCTAGCTCCATCCATGTTGTTTTAAGTAGCAAGATTTCATTTATTTTTTTTAATGGCTGAATAATATTCTATCATCTGTCTATCACATTTTTTTAAGGTTTATTTATTTATTTTAGAGAGAGAGAGAAGGGGGCAGAGGGAGGAGAGAGAATCTTAAGCAGACTGCACACTGAGCGTGGAGCCCAACGCAGGGCTCAGTCCCACCCCACAACACTGAGATCGTGATATGAGCCAAAACCAAGAGTCAGATGCTTAACCAACTGAGCCACCCAGGTGCCCCTCACATCTTCTTTTTTTAAAAATATATTTATTTTATTATTTTTGTTTTTTATTTGACAAAGAAAGAGAGAGCGCACAAGCAGGGGGAGCAGAGGGAGAGGGAGAAGCAGGCTTCCTGCTGAGCAGAGAGCCGATGGGGGGCTCAATCCGAGGACCCTGGGATCATGACCTGAGCCGAAGGCAGACGCTTAACCAACTGAGCCACCCAGGTGCCCTGCCCCTCACATCTTCTTTATACCACATCTTCTTTGTCCATCCATCTATGGATATATAAAACCTTTCAATTTCACACAGGGCAGCTGTTAGGTACTTTGTTGAGTGCTATCATTTACTTACCTTCTCAGAAGATTTCAGGGTTGGTCTGGCACATGAGGTGCTCAATAAACTGATGGTTGTTAGATGATGTTGAATAGTTATAATAATCCTAGAACTTCAGAGGATTGGGTATGTTTCAGAAACTTCATGATCGAGATTGTGCTCTTAATATTTATGGTTCAAGATGGAAACGGCTTAGACCTTTGAGAGGGGCCATGGCTGTTCTAAACCTTATGGCTATATAGTTTTGTTACAATGTTTGTTGCAGTTTTTATGGTTACTTTTTTTTTTGAGAGGGAGAGTGGTGGGGAGAGGAGTAGAAGGAGAGGGAGAAAGAGAATCTTAAGCAGGCACCATGCTCAGTGCAGTGTCTGATGAGGGGCTCACCCTAACAACCCAGAGATCATGACCTGAGCCGAAATCAAGAGTTGGATGGAGGCAGGGAAACCAGCAAAAGAGGAGAAAGAGATAGCTGGGCTCCACTGTTCATCTTTCTTTGTCTGACTATTCTGGAGTTAAAAAAAGCAAACATTTGTTGAATTCCTACAAGGCACTGGCTAGACTGATTTGAGGAATTGGAGTTAAATGAATATTATTATATGATGAGACTCCGAGCTACATCACACAATTATTTATATTTAGTTTTATATGTCATAACAAGGTGTGTTGAGGGAACTGTATAAAATAGTGGAAAAGAGTGACAGACAGGGAGTGGCTCTGCTTTTTCCATAGTTGTGTGGCTAAATCTACTAGGTCTGTGTCCTGGCCATCAGACCACACTAACAATGCTTTGCTAAAGTGGAATTCAAATTCTATATACACACACATTCACATTTATGTCTATATCTTTATATGTTGCAGGTTGATTCATTAAGGAGGATACTCTTTGAATAAAGTTTTATGTATATTACATGTATTTAATTTCTGTAAAATGTTAAAAAGTCTTAGGTAATTAGGTGTTGTCAGATATGCTTTTCAGACTAGGTGCTTTGGGATGGTCCTTGTTTTAAAATTACTTAAAATACTGTAATCTACCTTTTGGTGCTCACAGCCAGGGAAATTTTGACATTTATGAAATGGCAGTCCCTTGTTTATCTTAGTCAAGTTATCTCCCAAGGGCAAACTGCAAGAAGCCTGTGTGGTGCACCAGACTACCCTGTGAACTGCCTTCACATCTGTTTAATTTCGTTTAAACATGATAAGAAAACAAAACAAAAATCTCACAGCTCTCAATTTGTTTCTTTATCTGGTTGTAATAATTTCACATTCCGTGGCAGCTAGTATAAACAGCAGCAAACATGATCCATGATCTTGGAAAAAAGTAAATGTCGAGTATTTATTAAGAATCTATTATAGTGTCTTTATGTGCAGTCAAAACAGAAGGGGGTGTATCGGTATTCAATCTCTCTGACACATTACTTAGGCTCTGACTAAAAAAACAGTCTTTGCCTTCAGTGGCCAATTTAACATTACCATTTTCGTGACTATAGGCAGGCACATTACGACAAAGCAAAAAATAAATCAGCATGCTATTTTTTTTCTCCGCAGCTCTAGGCATCTAATTTATTGAAGTTTGGCCATGAGGTGCAATTTCCTTGTGCTCTGGGAGTCCAGCTGTGGTAACTGCTTGTCTTCCAGTTTCTTCTTATGGACTCTCCTGAGGTCAGGAAAAGGCTGTTTTACCGCGGTCCCTACGGACTGCTGCGACCCTGGTGCCACGTGGAGGAATTAAGAACCGCTCCTCCAGCGCACCTAACAGCCTCCTAAGGGGGGGGGGGTGATTGATGGTAGTGGGGGTGGGCGCCAGCTTAGTTCCGGGAAAAGGCAGGAGGCTCTAAATGGGACCGTACAGGAAGGTGAATCGCAGAGTGGGGAGCGGCCCGCGAACCGGTTCCGTTCGGTTGGAGGCCCGCTGCAGGCACAGGGCCCGCGACGCGTGCAGTCAGTCCTCCTCCCCCGACCTCGGCCGCGCCTTCCCCGCCCTACAGTACCTAACGCCGGCGCGCGCGCCCCGCCCTCCTTCCTGCGCACGCTCCCTCCTTGCCCACGCGCGCTCCCCGAGTCCCATCCCTGCTCAGGCCCGGGCGTGCCCCGCCCTCCCCCCAGCGCGTGCCCACACGGCCCGCGCGCACGCGCGCTCCGCCCTCCCTGCTGCCCGGCGCGCGCTAGCCCGCTGTCCCCGGGCGTGCGGTGGGCGGGGCGCCGCGCTGACGTTGCCCGGGATGCGGGCAGGGTCCGCCGCCGCCGCCGCCGCCTCCGCCTCCGCTGCCGCCGCCTCCGCCGCCTTCGCCGCCTTCGCCGCCTTCGCCTCGCCCGCCACCGGGGTTTGTATGAAAACACCGGGCGGCTGGCGGCGAGGAGTCCGCCGTTCTTCCAGAGAGCAGCCCCTGGTGCTGCCGACGCTGAGCCGGGTGCTGCGGCTCTGCCCAGTCCCTGCCAGCGCCCCGTCCTGAACCGGTGAGCGCCCCGCCGCCGTCCGGGCCGGCCGCCCCTCCGCTGCGGCTTTCCCGCCCGCCCGCTGCCTCTCCGCTCTCCCCCGGCCGCGGCTTCCCGGGGGCGGGAGAAGCGGGAAGGAGCGACGCCGGGCCCGCTGCGGTCTGCGTCCTGGGACCCCGCCGCCCCTCACCTGACAGGTTGTGTAACGCGTGTCTCTCGGGGGGAGTGGACGGGAGCTGGAGGGAAACCCCTGATGGTTTGGGGCTTTGGCTGGTTTCTGGAAAACGCTCCACATTGCCTCCACCCGCGGCCACTCGGTGGCCCCCGCCTCAATACCCGGCAGAGGGTCCTCGACGCAGTTTTCGGGCAGAGGCGGCTCCTGTGCCCTGCCCTTTTCTCTGGGGCTGGAAGCGCCGGTCACCGCGGTGTAGCGCGGAGCAGAGCCGAAGGGCGGCGGGCCGGGGGAGGGCGCGCGCCCCGCCTTCCCACCCCATCCTGGCACCCACCCCCTAGGTGTGCCTTGCTTTGCGGTGGGGTTGGTGTGGTATGCTACCGGCGGTGGCTAGATTTGCTTCCTTTCAGGGGGTGGTTTGGCCTGAAGTGTGTTCTCTGTTTACAAGTTGTCGCCTTTTGGGTTTGATTTGAACGTGAATCAGATCTCCCTAGATGACAGTGCAGAGTTTCCTTAGAGCCTTCCTTCCTGAGTTGCGGGCTCTTAATTAGTATTCAAGGACTCCTGCAACCCCAACGCCAAGGCATGCTTGTCTCTAAGGTTGTTGTTTCCCGCTTGTGACGGTTAAGCCTCTTACTAGTACCAGTGCAGTTTTGAATCGGTTTCCTGGGCATTTACCCATTATAGAATGGAGTTTTTATACATCTTAGCATAATCGATGTGAATGTTGATAATTTAAAGGCCGTTTCTTGTTTTAATACAGCTTGCCATTTCTTGTTTTAATATAGCTTGCTCAATTCAGTGCTTGAAGGTCCAGCGCTGCTGATGACCTAATGCATTGTAACACTTAGCGGATTTTTTTTTTTTTTTTTGGCAATGTTAATTCCTTGTGGGTGTTTTGTTTTTCTTCAGGTGTTTCATTATAATGCATGACAATTTGCAGTGAGAAAGGACATGAACAGTCTTCTTGATCACTCATTTTCACTTACCTTATATGTCTGTGTTGTAATCTTTATGTAAATCGAGTTATCACTTTAGTAACCTCTGAGTCCTTCTTAGAAATTGTCTTTTTTCCTGAGAAAACTAGAAAGTTATTTTCGTAATAGTGTAGTGGAATGTTTTCAGTTCAGTAGGCTAAAAAAGTAGTTTATTTCAGGCACTTTAAATGGTACCTATTTCAGAAAGTGCCAAATACTAATCAAAACCAAACAAAACCCTGGGAGATCTATAAGCATTTCCTATAATTGCTGTCATTAGTCCTGAAATTGCTGTGAGATAGCCATGTCTTATCTACTCCTTATTTTCTTGTTGTAATATGACTTCTTTAGTTTCCTATTCCACCTCGCTTGAGTTGGGTTCTACAATGAAGTTATAGATTCATTTTTAATGACCTCAAAACTCTGCCTTGAATTAATTGCTTCTACACTTACTTAGAACTGCAGTCTCACTTCGAACTCTGAAATGAAGGGGATAGATTTAGAGTTCTTCTTGTTATTAGCCAACAGTGCAAAACATTTAAGTGTTTTAATGTAATTTAAGCTTTTGTAGAAGCAATTTTTATAAAGCTTTTCCTGTTGAATTGAGGCATTATTCTCTTTGGAACAGTTTAGCTAGACTCCTATATAATAATGGTTTTTTTTATCTGCAACAGTAGAGGGAAGAGAGATCTAAGACTTTTTGAAATTACCTAATTTGTATTGGATTCTACATTTTGGAGTTTTCAATAAATCTCCACAGTATTCACCTTCCAAAATGTACTCTTGCTTAAGGTCGCTCAATACCTGGAAGCTGAATAGTGTTTGAGTAGTAATGGATGAAACTGTCAGAGGGCTCTCTCCAAGTTGGGAGCCTCCCTTAGGCAGTGGGTCTTGATGTGAATGACAGGAGTTGTTTAGAGTGACGTGGGATTTTAAATTTTATATTTTATTCTTGGTTACTGTGCCTCTGTACTATAATGTCGTGGTTAGGGGGTTGGGCTTCATAGCCAGCCTGGCTGGGTTCTAATTCTGGCTTTGCTTGAGGAAATTATTTATCCTCTTTGTGCTTAAGTTTTCTTAATTCCAAAAATGGGGGTAATAATGTTATACCCTTAAGATCTTGAATATTAAATGAGTTAATACACATAAAGTTCTTAGTCCACAGTGCCTGGCATGTAAATATTACTGCTACTGCTTTTCCTCACTTTTCCAAGGGCCCTAGTAAGCTGAAGAAGGACTTTAGGCTGATGGAGAATTATTACTGTAGAATAATTCCACTGTGACCCATTTGCTCCTTTGGGGCTAAGTGAGAGCTTAGTCTCACTATCCTGCCTTGGAAGCATGTAATTTAGTTTTAAATAGAACAGCTGGGTGCCCTGTGATGCTGCTGGAGAGGTGCTGAAGTATCCCTGTTTGTCCCTTCTGACAGAACCTTGGATTGTCTCCCTCATGGTGGTGGTGACTGCTATTTTAATCACCTGTTTTTGAGTTTGTGATTGCGTGTTTCTTTGACTGTCATGTCCTGCTATCAAAAATATCTATCAAACTATTAATAGGTATATATGAGTTTATCTGATCAAGATATTGTATGATGTTTCCAGGACATACAAAATCACTTTCATCTATGCATTCTTTTGTTTTCCTTATTGGTGTTAGTGAGTGAGGTTAGTTTTGATTTGACATTGTATTCCTTTTCAGCTTTCATGTAATTTTTCTAGGAAAGTTTTTTTTAATTAATGATTTTATGTACTTACTGTTCTTCATTTGCAGGGATCTAATATTAATACTCAGTTCTTTAAATCCGTTGTTTTCTAACTTTTGATTTCAAGACCCTTTTAAATTCTTAAGAATTATTGAGCACCCCAAAGAGCTTTTGTGGATTATGTCTGTAGTTACTGTATTATAAATTATAAATTAAAAAGATATATATAAATTTTATTAATTCCCTGAAATATGACAATAATATGTTAATATAAGCTTTTTTATTGAAAAATAAGTATTTTTCAAAATGAATAAGGCAATGAGAAGAGTGGTTTTGATTTACATTTTTCTCTAATGTCTGGTTTAATAGAAACATCTGGATTCTTCTATCTACTGCATTTAGTCAGTCTGTTGGCAATATGTTTTTTGGTTTGAAGTATATAGAAGGAGAAATCCAGCCTTACATAGCTAATGGCTGGAAAAGGGAGGGAGGCATTTTAATAGCCTTTTCAGATAGTAATGGATTTTCTTGTTTGGTATTACATCACAGCTCAACATGTGTTAGTTTTTTAGTTATTTGCAATGTGGAATCTGAGATCATATCAATGGACTTTTTTCATAATGTTCTATTAAAATCCCTTGGTCTGAACTTTGAATGAATCTTATATAATTATGCCTGAATTTGTAACATCATGCCTTGGTCCTTTTTAAGTATTGGTTCATTTATGAAGATCTTCCGAATGTTGACACATTTCGTATGTTATTAAAAAATCACATTTGTTCATATCACCACTTACCCTGTCAGAAACAAATTATTGGAAAGCTGTCCAGGTCATGACCTGATTGATGGTGGATATAAGTTTTCCAGAAATCTGATTTTTGCTTGAAAGCTCAAATTTTATCATTGGCAAGAAATATGACTGCCAGTTGTTTCCTAGAAGGGACAAGCAGATTTTGTTCATCTCTGAGAGAACCTCTGCCAGAATACTTAAGTCTGAATAACTGTAGTCATTCTTTCAAGTAAAAATGGTGTTTTTTTTTTTTTTTTGAGATTTTATTTATTTATTTGACAGCGAGAGCAGGAACACAAGCAGGGCGAGTGGCAGAGGGAGAAGCAGGCTTCTCACTGAGCAGGGAGCCCCATGTGGGGCTTGATTCCAAGACCCTGGGATCATCACCCAGGTGCCCCAAAAATGGTGTTTCATGAAAAAAGAGGCTAGTGTAAGCCCTCGGTTCAGTCATACAAGTACTTTACCTTGAGACAGCCGTCAGCTATTATACGCTTCATGTGTACTTACCGTATTGTCACATAGTATATTTAAAAAGATGTATATTCAAGGCCTGAGATTTAATAAAATAATCTTTACTATTTTTTTGAAAGATTTTATTTATTTGGGAGAGAGAGAGAGAGAGAGAGAGAGAGAGAGAGTGCACAAGCAGGGGGAGGGGTAGCGGAAGAGGGAGAAGCAGATTCCCCGCCAAGCAGGGAGCCTGATGTGGGGCTCTATCCCAGGATCCCTGGGATCATGACCTGAATCAAAGGCAGATGCTTAACTGATTGAGCCACCCAGATGACCCTTGAAGGACATTCTTAAGTGAAAAAAGTTTTTTTTTTTTTTTTCTTAATAGCTACTGGTACTTCATGGTGAAAAATATAATGACTAATAGTGCAGTTTGGTGCCAGTACCATAAGTTCTTCCAAGATGCCAGAAATGTTACACATCATTGCTTTTGTACCATTAGTATAAATGTTAATACAGTTAAAAGGGTTAATGATATTTTAGTGTTATTATGAAAATAGTTTTGACCTTGTGGACCCCCTAAAAAGGTGTCAGGACCCGAGGGGACCGTGGACCACATTTTGAGGACTTCTGGTATAAATCAGCTGATTCCTACCAAACTTTGATAAGGAAGGGAAGTGGTAGTGACAATCACTGGTCTGTTTTTGCTTCAGATTTTTGGGCTCCAGTAAAAGCCTTCCTGAATTTATTTTATTTTTTTTTTTAAAGCCCAGTAAAGGTTATTCACAGAAAGTTGAGGTTTCTTAAGGGTTTTAGTCAGGTGCTGATACAGGGGAACTATAGTATTAGTAATCTGAAATTACACTATCTAAAAACAAAAAAATTTGGGAGTACATATCCACACAAATGTTCAAATCTAATATTGGGGGG